GAAGTTGATATTTGACTGTTGTGGGGTCGGAACAATGGCATGAATAAGTCCTCCAGCTCTAATTCCAGCAACACGTAGTCTTTTGCAAACGGACTTATTTGATATTCTGAGCAGTTCAGGGATAGCTAATGCTGTAGACAACGGCATTGTGGAACGTTGATGAAGACCAATGAAGTGATCCTCGGAAGCTGATGACATGCATGGACTGCCATATGTTTGGCTATCATTAGGTGTAACATGCTGTTGGTATCTGTTTTAAAGGTGAGACATTGTGCTTTGTGCAATATTAAACCTCTTGCAACGGTGACTATGGTACATCTGCTGCCGGTCGCCCAATTAACTTTTTGCAATATGTGTCATTCAGATGCAGCATTTTTAAATAGCGTCAATTTTTATTTTTAAAAATACCAGAAACAAAAAATCGAGATCCCATGCTTTTGATAAACCTTTTGTATCTTAATGTATCTGAATGATATTGATCATAAACCAACAAAAAAGTGTTAAAAAGATCCAATTTTAGCATTTTGCAAAAATATGTCTTTTTGTAGGAGTTGATCCTTACGTCGCGGGTTCGAATCCCACTGTGGGACATGGAGACCGGTCCTTCGGATGAGACCGTATAAACCGAGGTCCCGTGTCGCAGTAGGTGCTGGCACGAAAAAGATCCCTCACTGCTCAATGGCTGTAAGTGCCGAGTATAGGACAAAATTTGCAGCTCTCCACCGGCAAGTGGTGGCGTCTCCATATGAGTGAAAAATTCTCGAGAGGGACGTTAAACAACAATCAATCAATCAATCAATCTTAGAATAGCTGTCAAATTGGCAATAGCGATAAAATCATGAATTTTATTCGAAAGAATCATATTCCCTTAAAGAAATTGTAAGACATTTTTTTTAAATATCATACAGCTTATTATTCCAATTTTGTGTTTCTGGACTGGAATAAAAACAGAATTTATTAGGCTGAATGTAGAAAATGGCCCTAGTGCAAGGGCATCCAGTTGTTTTTGGCCATAAAAATTGATACACATTAAAAGAAGTTTACATCCCTAACCTGAAAAGTGCTGGGAGTTAGTTTGTGTTTTGGGGAAGTACTCGTAATTTTTCTGAGAATGCGTGTAATAACAAAAATTTTCCACTTCACCTCTACATGGTAATGAATTTTAAAAAAATATTCTTCAGAGCAGAACCAGCTCCCAGCACTTTTTAGAATATTCATGATATAAGCAGTTTACCCATTTATTTTCGTATTTCAGCATAAACAGTCTAGTATATGCACTTGCTGTGGCGTTCAACTCGACATTTAGATATATCGACGACGTATTGTCAATCAACAATGGCTATTTTCATTCTTATGTCGATACGATATATCCTGGTGAACTTGAGATAAAAGATACCACAGAGTCTGACACATCTGTTTCATATTTGGATATTTTACTTGAAAAAGACGTTAATGGTAATCTAACAACCAAGCTTTATGATAAACGTGATGACTTTAACTTTTCAATCGTCAACTTCCCTTACTTATGCAGCAATATATCTTCATCACCTGCTTACGGGGTATATATCTCTCAGTTGATTCGATTCGCAAGAGCATGCTATACGTATGTACAATTTCTAAAACGAGGTAAATTATTGACAAATAAGTTGATGAAACAAGAATATCAGCTGTCTCGTTTAAAGTCATCATTTCATAAGTTCTATGGTCGATACAATGATCTTGTCAGCAAATACAATTTATCATTGAGTCAAATGCTGACTGACGTTTTTCATACTAATTGTTTATTTACACACTGAATTGTCGACGGATTTTTCCGTTATTTCCCGATCATGACAAGGAGCACACGTCGGGTGTGACCGGTCGGCAGGGGATGCTCACTCCTCCATGGCACCTGATCCCACCTCTGATGTTTGGAGGTCCGTGTTTGCTCTGCTCCTATTTTGTATTGTATAATGGACTTTTGAGCTTGAATACTGTTCGTTATCTCCATTTATTTCATGCACTTGCACTTTTGAGATATATCGGGAATATGATTATCGTATTAGCGAATTTATTTACAATCCAAACAAAAACTAAAGTTAACTATAGAAACCAAGTTTTCACTATAGTAAATCAAAGTTATTTCAATAGTTAATCAAAGTATTTTATTATAAATTTCAGATCGTTATATTATATATGTTTTAAATTCCTAGGAGCAATTTTTCTAATACTAAAAGGAAATATTACTTGTAAATTTACATATTATTTCAAAAAATGTACATCATTGATATGTATTTTAAGAAATAATAAGGCTTTAAATCTTCAAAAAAGTTCAAGAGAAAAGTTTCATAGTAATCAAAGTATATACTATAGTTAACAATAGTAATTTTTGTTAGGGAATCTCTGACGCTGTTCAGCTTGATAAGATCTTGATGAATTAATTATATACACAATTAGACAAACTAATGAAGCAATCCTATGCTGCTGATATCACACGTGGTCTGCCATATTTTGGCGATCATTTGTTGTACCATGTTATTGTTATCAGTTTGATAGGTGAGATATGGTGCTTGTGCAACATTAAAACCTCTTGCAATTGTAGACTGTGGTACAGCTGCTTCTAGTGGCCTAGATTCCTTTTTGATATGCACCATTCAGATCCAGCATTTTTTAATTAGGTCGATTTTCAAAAAATACCAGAATCAAAAAGTCGAGAACCCGAGCTTTTGAAAAACCTTTTGAACCTGATTGATATAAATAAGAAACAATTTTTCAAAAAGTGTTAAAAAGATTAAATTTTAGAATTTTGCAAAACCAGGTCTTTTTGTCTGTAGGTTTAGTAGAATGGCTATCAAGTTAGCAATAACATTAAAAAATAATGAATTTTACCCGATTGAATTATATTCCTCTTAAAAAAAATATGCAAATCTTTTGTATTCTTTGTGTGATTTAACTTTAACAGCATGCAAATATACATGATAAGCATCTTTATCTGAGCGTATTTAGTCGTATATTTGACTTACAGATAGCAGAAATTATTTTTAGCTCTACAGGGATTGAAAAAACATATTATAGAAAATATTTGTAATATCAACTTACCTTTCAGCAGCCAGCCTCGGTTTAAAAATTGGCCGTACTCGGACTCGGAGCATGCTCTTGAGTATCTAATAAGTTGGGAGACGTAAACACCATGCAAGTGATTGCGGAATATTATTACATTAGTAAAGAAAGGTTAACAATTGAAGTCATCTCGTTTGTCTCTTCCATTAACTTATCAACGATTTTGGGTACATCATATGTTGTAAGTTTTTGAGAGATTATTTTTTAAAATGATTAAATGATTAAAGGTTTCTCTTTATGAAAAAATAGAATATTTTATTTCTAAAAAACTAAATATTGTAATAAATCTTTGTTTCACCTACTCTTGCGAAGTTCCTTCAAGTATTTTAAAATATTTGGTAAATATGAAATTAATTCACATGAGCTTGAATACTACAAATATGGCAAAATATGCACTTGGATAAAACACTGTATATCTGAGACTCCTATAGCTAGTTTTAGCTATGCTTTAACTCATTTTTGTTCAAGTTTAGAAGTTTACAACCAGCATTGGCTACGTGTTCTGACGACGAGCGTTAATTGGAAAGACATATGAGCTTCAATGCTGATAGTATCATGTTCTTTCTTGTTAAACAACTTATGACTCATTTAGAGTTAATTAAGGAACGAGAACATTGAAGATTATTTCAAGAGTTTATATGTAACAATGTTTTACTTAGTAATACAACGTTTTTTCCCACTAACATACATTTTCATAAGTGCTCAAAGTATTGTTATTTAGGGACCTTTGCTCTCTCTCTCTCTCTCTCTCTCTCTCTCTCTCTCTCTCTCATAACAAATTATTTCATACGTACTTATTTCTTTGATGAAATTAAATACCACTGACCAAGGAATAGTTTTGGCAATTCCCTTTTTTCTACAACTATTATATGAAAAAAGGTTTATGGAAAAATATATGGAAAAAGTTTAATTTTCCTTACGGCAAGTAAAACTCAAAGGCAGAAAAGTTGGTTGGTCCATGTACAAAGTAGATGTAATTTAAAAAATATACAAATATTGAATCGAACAATGTGTTCTAAAACATTATGCATCTTCGGAACTTGTTGTTCAAATGTTCCCATTGTCCTTTAATGTTCTCAGGTTGGACTCATAAATATGAAGTTGAGAATGTTATTACAACGTATTGGTAGAAACAGTCAATGGAAAAAACTATTTCACTTCTAAACTCTAGATATACAAAAAAATAAGAGGAGGGAAATAACGAGAATTTTTTAAACGTTGTAAAATTCAGCTATAAAAGAATACTTGCGACATCCATATGAATGCATGTGTACATTATATGACCCTTCTTAAAATTCATTGTCCACCAAACAGTGCTATACATGTGCGTTTTTAAATAAAGTCTGAGTGTTTTTACAATTGCAATCACCGTCGACTGGTGTTTTTAACTTTACGTCTACATACACAATGTTTGGTAACGTTGTTTTTTAAAGTAAAATTACAAATAATGATTTCATTTTAAGAAATGGTCATTTTTCCTAAATTCAAAATAGATTAGCATGAATTTCCTGTGGAATCTAGAAATTAAGTTACAGAGATATCGACTAGAAAATGCGAGTCCATTTTATTTAACATAGTAACATTTTTACCTATTACATTTTTAACCAATGCTTAGCTTTTTAAAACACCAGATGATCATGTAAATTGTGCTACTAATCGCCGGTGAAGAAATTGCACCTGACCCACAAAAAAGAGGACACGATTATGCTTCTGAAATGTACATATTGCGATATTCAAATCGATATCTTTACAATGCATTAATTTCCAACTCACATATCAAGTTAAATAAATTACTAACTCACAACGAAATTGATATATGGAATAAAGCATGAAAATTAAATCTTATGGTAGAAGTCATTTAATGTAAATATCTCATTAAAGATGAGAACAAAGTGACAAATTCAAATTCTATTGACAATTTGTATACAAGTATGTCTTGTGTAACTAGATTTATCTGTATTCCTAAATCTTTTATTCAAGAAGTAATACAAATACGGATTTATGGTTGAATTGGAATATCCCAGCCATGCTACCACGAACCAAGCAGTGTAAGGTGCTTTTATTCCAAAGAGATTCACCAGAAGGAGCAGCACAAAAAATGGTGTGGAACACACTGAGAATATTCCCTGTAATATCAGTATTGTTCCGGATACCTTGATCTCAAGTTTATGTTGCTGACGATGAAGAGCACTGCCTCTATCTTCCGTTGCATTGCACAAAAATTCATTTCTGTTGTGAACTTTTAGGAAAATTTTAACACTTGCAACAATGTTTAATAAAAGTGGCAAGTAAAATGCAATTAAGGCTCCTATTACTGACGCCATTCCTTCTACAATTAACTTATTTTCACATTCAACATATTCTGCATTTAGAAAAACAATGGTCACTGAAATGGCGAACGATAACATCCAACATAGGGATATCAAAATTGACACCATCTTTGTGGTCATTATTTGGTAATATTTCAGTGGGTCACTCACGGCTACAAATCTGTCGATATTCATACATGTGAAATGTAGAATTGATGACGTTGTAAATATACAATCAAGAGCAAAGAGTATCTCTCTAAACAATTTTCCTTGTAACAGGGAATAACCAATTAAATCTTGAATAATGGAGGGCGACATAACTAAAACAGCAACACAGCAATCAGCAACTGCCAGAGAAATCACAAACACATTAATTTTTCTCTGGAAATCAGCTCTCCTTACCACTTTGAATACCAGCATGATGTTCCCAAACACTGTGACTATGACAACAGAAAATAAGAATACCACACAAGCTATTTTCCCGTGAAAATTTGATAAGATCTGTGAGCCTTCACAATTTGATTTTGAATCATTCATGCTATTATTTGCTGTCCTGTTGTCAAAGCTTACAAATGTTTCATATCTGATCCGAATCGTGGATGAGTATCTTTTCCAGGATCATTGTTCCTCGTAAACAATTATCACTTCCTAACTTGTTATAAATGAAATGAGTATTGGGATTGTCCGAGCATTTTAAGTGAATTATTTATCAATCTACCCACCTTGATTTTTAAAAAATCATACCATTGCGTGCAATGGTTGCCTAAGTTCGTACAATTAAGATAATGAATGTTTTAATTTACTTTAATCACAATTAATGAGGATGATATTTGTAACCATCTAAAAATTAATCACAATAAAGGGAATATATTTCAAACAGTAATATCCACAACAGACTATTAGGAAACGGAGTACATGAGAAATATCATTAGTGTGATATCAGTGGAATAAAAAAAGAACTAAAATACTGAAAGCAGAAGAAACTGGGAAATATACTTATATATAGTGGTTTGTTGTTTAGCAATATTCATTCCATCACTAAACAACTATGAGACAAGAGACTGTTTTCTCGTTCAATATATATATATATATATATATATATATATATATATATATATATATATATATATATATATATATATATATATATATATATATATATATATATATATATATATATATATATATATATATATATATATATATATATATATATATATATATATATATATATATATGTACTTCCTGCATTGCGTGACATGTGTTCAGAGCAAGGATTGATACTTACTTAGGCAGATATTTTCTCTTTAAACAATACGGTGCAACGAAATCATAATGATCTCTTGATAGTGGATCCAAGCATGAAAACGAGCGAATTTAACAGTTAAAAACACAAGACTATTAGCTGCTATATTAACATTCATTCATTTATCTTTTTAGCTTTTATTTAAGATTTATACACAAATTGTTAGGAAATAAAGAAAATAAGGAAATAGAGAGTTTAATAGTCGTGGAACACGATCGGAAACCATTTATCGAACACAATTTATACGAAACTATAAATTCTGATCTTTTTTTTTTTATTTTGAGGAAACACAATTATGCTTATCATCTGATGCAACACTCATATCAATTTTGATTGCGAATACATTCTCCATAATTGGAAGCTTAATTTACCACTCATCAGTAATTTGAAAGTTCGGTCTTGTTGATGAAAATGAACCATTTCATTTAGTATCCATGCATATCCATTTAGATGATTATTTTGCATTTGGAGACAATTAAACTGTTAAGATGGATTCAATCAGCATTAAATAAGGCAACTTCGTAGCAAACCATAAGTTAACATTCCCATCTTAGCTTTACTTTCAAAGATTGTGAAATGTAAAGAAAAGTCAGATATTTTGCTAACTGCTATTCTAAATATTGTTTTTCTGATATAATTTTAAATTAGGGATGTCAAAATAAGCATATTTCATGAATCTATAATTTGATCATTTTAATAGACGATAAATCGAATATTTGGTAGACAACTTTTTTCAATATAAGAGTAAAATTGTAGATATATGATTTTCAATCTTCCAGTTTTTTCAATATTAGAGTAAAATTGTAGATATATGATTTTTAATCTTTGAAATACAGATGAGGGTATATAATTCACAGAGGACCAGTATAAATTCATACAAGAATGAAATGTTGAAATTCATTTATAAGTATGTTATTGTAGATAGAATTTTATTGAATATGTTTTAGAAAAAAAAAGATTAAGCAATTTAAAACGTAGAAAACCTAAGGAGATGATATTTGTTTTTTAAATGCCATATATGTCTGTTATTTGCTATTAAAACAAACAATTCAAATTATTATATGAAAAAGAGATGTGTTCGTAGGTTGACATCCCATTACATTATCATAGCGATGAAAAGTTTTCATTACAGTGGAGTAAGGAGTTGATCGTTACGTCGCGGGTTCGAATCCCACTGTGGGACATGGAGACCGGTCCTTCGGATGAGACCGTATAAACCGAGGTCCCGTGTCGCAGTAGGTGCTGGCACGAAAAAGATCCCTCACTGCTCAATGGCCGTAAGTGCCGAGTATAGGACAAAATTTGCAGCTCTCCACCGGCAAGTGGTGGCGTCTCCATATGAGTTAAAATTTTTCGAGAGGGACGTTAAACAACATATAAAAAAACAAATTAAAATATTTAACATTGCTCATACTTTTGAATGAGAGAAGATATGGCATTTACATTTGACATGTGCATCCTGTTTCAAGACCCTTCTAATTGTATACTCCGGTTTTTGATATTTTTTTTACATGTGCATTATTTCAGATTGTATTATAACATTTGACCTCATTGACCTCATGACCTTGATCTTGAAGGCTGATGTAGAAGCTACAATCTTTGCCATATCTGTTATTAATTCAATAATTTATGCATAGACAATACAGGACACACACAAACACGAAAGTTACAATATACCATAAATAATGGCATCCCATGCAGTAAGACACCAAAAGCGGGCGACCACAATTCTTTGAATTCGCTTGTTTCCTCAACGTCAGAAAACGAAAAATAGATCAAATAAAAGTTTATTACAATAATAATGTGCCCTATTTAAGCATTATCTTCCGTAATTTTGCTTTATAACCGTCGGTATATCAAAACTGTTTTTAAAAAAGAATTACTCACAAATCTGGTATTATAAGTTAATAATACCAGATTTGTGAGTAATTCTTTTTTTTCAAATACACCGTTGCGTCCTGTAGAGAATTTTTTTGTTCGATTGGCTATTTAAATCAATTAATTTTTCATGTTTTATACCGTGCAATAGTCCTTTCTGTCGTAGGATGACTGAAACCTGAGAAAAAAACATGTGATATGTCTGTCTCTTTTTCTTAATGCTCAAAATCCAAAACTGGAATACCAATGAACTATCAAATGGTATTTCTTTTCTAACGTTTCCCGTCGGTAATATAGCACCCAATGATTGATAAAAATTCATTGGAACAGAAAATATGTCAAAGTGTTGTCTTGTATTTAAGATAATAAATTCAGTAGACATAAAATAAGAAAATATTACTATTTGTCTTATTTAATGTACAGACATATTTGTTCATTCTATATATTTTACATAAAAGACAAAAAGATTGTGACAAACCCAAATTAAAGCTGTTTATGCCCTCTGCAATTACCTTATTTTTCTTATTTTTTTTTATTCAAACAATAATAAGAATACGGGATTAACGGTTAATTTGTAATATCCCAGCCATGCTACCATGAACCACGCTGTGTAAGAGGCTTTTATTCCAAAGATATTCTCCAAGAAGCACAAAAAATGGTGTGGTACACAGTGAGAATATTCCCTGAAATATCAATATTTTTCTGGTTTCCTTGGTTTAAAGTCTGTGTTGCTGACGACGAAGAGAACTGCCTCTATCTTCCATTGCGTTACACAGATATTTATTTCTGTTACTATGATAAATGTCATAATTCCTGTAAAAATACAAAACTAATACGGACTTTAAATCATGCTTAAATCCTTAAAACAATGCAAGCTAGCCCCTACTAAATAGAGATAATTACATGATTATATTCAATTACACTAAATTATATATAATGGGTCTATCAACTGAATCAATGACCAGGTCTTTCCACAATCTATTGGAATTCCCATGGGTAAAAGTTGTGCCCCGTTATTAGCAGACCTATTTTTGTATTCATATGAAGCAGAATTTGTTCAAAATCTTTTACGTGAAAAGAAAACACTTGCTTTGGCCTTCAACTCGACATTTAGATATATCGACAACGTATTGCCAATTAACAATGGTTATTTCCATTCTTATATCGACACAATGTATGCCAGTAAGCTTGAGATAAAAGATACCACAGAGTCTGACACATCTGTTTCATATTTGGATATTTTATTAGAAAAGACTTAATGGTAATCTAACAACAAAGCTTTATGATAAACGTGATGACTTTAATTTTTCAATCATCAACTTTTGCAGCAATATACCCTTATCACCTGCATACGGGGTTTATATCTCTCAGTTGATTCGATAAGCCAGAGCATGCTATACGTATGTACAATTTCTAAAACGAGGTAAATTATTGACAAACAAGTTGGTGAAACAAGAATATCAGCAGTCTCGTTCAAAGATATCATTTCATAAGTTCTATGGTCGATAAAATGACCTTGTCAGCAAATACAATCTATCATTAAGTCAAATGCTGACTGACGTTTTTCATACTAATTGTTAGGCCATTATTTACACACTGAATTGTCGACGGATTTTTCCGTTATTTCCCGATCATGACAAGGAGCACACGGCGGGTTGACCGGTCGGCAGGGGATACTCACTCCTCCATGGCACCTAATCCCACCTCTGATGTTTGGAGGTCCGTGTTTGCTCTGCTCTTATTTTGTAATGTTTAATTGACTTTTTAGCTCGAATACTGTTCGTTATCTCCATATATTTCATTAAATATTGTCATTTAAATATAACAGCTTTTTTTCCATTTTGAACATAACGATTATCATCAAAAGGAAAACTCTCGTTTAACAAAAGACGATGAATGACTCAATTATTTCACTTTGAATGAAAATTAATTAAGGGACTCTTACAATGAAATATGAGGAGATAAAGAACAGTATTTAAGCTCAAAAGTCCATTGAACAAAACAAAATAGGAGCAGAGCAAACACGGACCTCCAAACATCAGAGGTGGGATCAGGTGCCATGGAGGAGTGAGCATCCCCTGCCGACCGGTCACACCCGACGTGTGCTCCTTGTCATGATCGGGAAAAAACGGAAAAATCCGTCGACAATTCAGTGTGTAAATAAATGCCTAACAATTAGTATGAAAAACGTCAGTCAGCATTTGACTCAATGATAAATTGTATTTGCTGACAAGGTCATTTTATCGACCATAGAACTTATGAAATGATGACTTTAAACGAAACAGCTGATATTCTTGTTTCATCAACTTGTTTGTCAATAATTCACCTCGTTTTAGAAATTGTACATCCGAAG